CCATAGGCCCCTTAACATGGTACCATGGATGCTGTTGTTTGTTGAGCTTGTTGCGGAGTTGGATCCAGGCTGATTCAATGTGCGGTCGATGGTCCTGGGGCCAATGGTGCACAAGTTGATGCATGGATGTGCTGGATGACGATCTGATCCCCTGCTGCTGTGTTGGTCATAGATCACATCAGGCTGTCCACCTTGGTGCAGCCCAAGGTGTGTGGCCAGAGCGTGTCCGAGGCCTTGTCGGTACCTAGGCGCAAGTCCTTGGCCTTCAAACCCCCACATTGCAACGGGTTGTACTCCGCCTCGGTGGAGCCTGAGCCTGTTCTTGAGGTTTGGTAGTTTGAGAGATCTGAGTTTGATGCGGCGCTGCTTGTTCTTGTTGAAACGCTGCTTCAAGGTTGCTATGCGCCGTCTCCTCCCTGCCGAGTGGTCTATGCCCAGGTCTCTCATGACTGTTTGTATGGGCGGGTCATCTGAAACCAGCAGCTTTGCTAGTGCAAGCTGTGTCGTTTTGTCGGTGACAATGAAGGCGGTCTTGCTGTTGTTGACCCTGAGCCCTGCAGCTTTGAGCTGGTCCCGCAACTCGTGCCAAGCTGTGACCACATTGGTGGCTAGGATGTCTGCATCTTTGTGGCTCCCATCAAACCCGATGTTGTCGACCCAGCCATTGAGTGTCAGATCTGGGTGGCTTGCTTGGAAGGGCGCCAGGCGCCTGGGGACAACCTGCCGCCACCCCAGTGGTGCTGTGGAACCATGTGCTGAGTTCAGCTTCAGCCAGGACTGCCTTGGGTCCCGTGTAGACCTGCGTGGCAAAAAGGTGGGTAGTTCAGGTTGATGGCTGTTTCCTGCAGTCGTTTGAGGTCAATGGTGTCATAGCATGTCCAAGAGTACCGTGATCCCATGGATGTCCAGAGCTTTGTTGCTTTCTTGCCGTAGGAGTCGTTCAAGTGCCACATGGAGGGCAGTGGCGCCCTGTCTGGCTCTGTCGTAGTCCATCTCCTTCGGCAGGGATTTTTGCCACTCATCCACTAGCCCTTTCCTCAAACGGCACCACGTCCGGTACAAGACGCTGGTGTGCGTAATTGGTCTCTCCACTTTTTCATTTTGCCAACATCACGATGGGAGTTCTGCTTTGGCCTCCATGTCCTGAAGGAGCTTGAGCAAGCTGGTCAGGGCCTGCTTGGGCGCCGTGCGTGGGAGCTGGGTGGTGATGGCATCCGGTCCGCAGGCTCGATCTGGGAGCTTTTTGAGTGTCTTACCCAGATGACCGAAGGTCAATGGTGGGAGTGTGGCCGCATGGTCTTTGGCTTCTTGTAGGATGGACGGTCGGCGCATGACCTGGTTGTCCTCCGTGGGCCGCCATAATTCTTGCCATGTGTGTAGTCGATGTCTCATGCGATCTGCCACTGGGATGTCTCTGTACGGCCTTTGCCATGACAGTTCACTGGCTTTTAAGGACCGGAAAAGCCCTTTGAGGCCTTTCGCTTCCCCTTGTCGGATCCATTCTGTGTACTGGAGGTGTGTTTCATCACGACTCTGTGCCTGTGCAGCTTCGAGTTGGTGTTGTATGGTATGCGTCATCAGCTCCAGGGTCCGTGGGTCCTTGTGTTGTTGCCAGTGTTGGCTGGTGTCCAGGAATTGCGCCCAGGTTGGGTCTCCGGTCCAATGTTGTGGTGCATCTTGGATAGCCGGATAGCCTCTGGTGGCTCCTTTGGCTTGGTTGGGCTGGCGCTGAATGATGTTGAGCCGTGCTTGCCATTGTTCCCAGTATGCTGGATTGCCATTTTTCCATAGACCACCGGACTTGGTAGGTACAAGTGGTTGGTGCTGGACTGCAAGATTTGCAGCTCTGCCTTGTGGTGCCCATGGATGTTGTTGGAGGAGATATTGTCTCCTGCATTGGGCTCAGTGTCGTAGAGCTGGATGTCTTCAACTTGTGAGACATAGGCCATAGGTGCTCCATGCTCGAAACCCAATGTCCGGCACATTGGGCAGTGGAGGAAAGCTGCGAAGCTGGTGGTACTTCCTGAAGTCCTCGTCGAGCTCGAAGGCATAGGTGAGCAGGCAGCAAGTGGGGCCAGGTTTTGGTGCATGATGGCATAGTCCAGCGTGTTCCCATTGAGCAAGGTGGCATCTGGAGCCAGGATTTGCCAGTGGAACTTGGAGCTGAGTACGGTTGCTTGTCTGTTGGTGGCATCGATGAGCGCCAGGATCCTCGCCAGTAGTTTGGAATTGGTGGGTCCTTGCAAATTCTCATTGGTCTTGAAATAGACTGCAATGACAAGGAGGGATCTTGCTTTGGCTTCCCAGAGAAAGGCTTGGTAACCACATCCTTCGATGTCGAAGTTCTCAACCTTGGAGAGCCCATGTGCTGTGTCATAAAGGATCAGGATGCCTCCGTGGTTTCCTTCGTTGTTCGGATTGTTGTGGGCTGGATAGCCGAAAGCATGGCGCCCCCTCACCTCGAAGTACTGACACATGGAGTGGTGTTTTTGGCTGTCGAGATGAGTTTCAACGAAGACATACAGTTCATTGTCCCGACTCCAGTACCAATCAAGTGTGCGCCGTCCGAAAGAGGTGATGTTGGCAACATGCAATCTCATTTTGTCCTGGGTGAACTTTGCCTTCTTCGGAGGTGTTCCATGAAGAGGTGGGTCGTAATCTGGAGTCTCAGGAGCCGGCAACGCTCGTGCTATTTGGCGTGGTGTCACCAGTGCAGATGTCTGGATGCGCCAGACCGGCACTATTTGCCCAGGCAGTTGTGGAGTCAGGAAAGGTAGAACTTTTGGGTTGCCACCATCATCTGCAATCCACATGAGGTCTTTGTAGACGAGGATCGTGAAATATGTAGGCGATGGGAATGTACTCCGCACTGGCTCCGGAGTAGCCGTCCAAAGACCTTGGAACAGTACAGGGGCCGTGAGGATTGAGAGCTCTTTTGTGCTTGGTGACTGTGCCTTCGTAACTGCCCGATTGATGTGGTTGACCATCACCATTTTGTCATCTCCCAAGTATTGCCCATATCCATGGTTATCTCATCGAGGTACTCATCAGGGTAGTCGATGACGATAGGCAGCTGGATGTGTTCAGTGACGTAGCCCCCATCTTTGATTTCTGAGAATCTGTACTGCATGACCCGTGTTTGTGAGTGGATGAGTGGATCCAAAGGGAGTTGACGAAATGTGCAGCATCACCTTCAGTGTTTAAGTCATGCTTGTGCCACAAGTCTTGTAACCCTGGGAGTTTCTTGATGCCCACCGGCTCACTGAGTTCCAGTGAGGTTTGAACCGCTTCCTTCAGAGTGCCCCAAGGTTCCCTGTTGAATTCTGCTAAGTATGCGCACATCCAGCAGAAGGCCCTCCAGGGTGCATTGGCATAGCATCTTGTGCTAGGATTCCCCACCACAATACATAGGTTCTGCATCAGAAGGTCCGTGGTGGAGGCATAGACATTTGTGCTCATGGCTTGATTCGTCTCCCAAGTTTCAATGGAGGCAGTGTGCCCTCCGCTTGCACCTCCAGTGAGCTTGATGCAGCTATGTCCAGTGACCGCCGCGTGAAGGTTGTCAAACTTGTATCCAACAGAATTGGAATAGGCTGGCTGGACATTGGGTTGTCCTTCTGGTTGCATGTCCCCTGCAACTTGCTTTTCCCCAAAAGTGGCAACTGTGTTGGTTGCTGTGCAAAATGGTTCATTGGGATCATGTGTCATAGCCCCTGCACATGTTGAACCTGTCCCCGGTCCTGCATCTGAGCCTGGAGCAGCGCGGCAAACCCATTTTGGTGGTGCTGCCAAGGCTGGTGATGCATCTTCAAAAGAAATCCCCTGTTCTTCAGAAAGCAAAACTATTGGACTTGAACTGTCAGGCCATGACATCATGTCATCGTCCGGGACAGGTATGGTCCACCCCTGATGCTCATCGTAGGAACTGTTACCCGCAATGTCCGGGATGTGCCGCCGGGGTTGTCTCGGTTTTGCGTCTCTTGATGGCATCCTCGCTGTCTTGGCTGGGTCGCTTGAGAAGCCCACGCAACTGAGCTTTTTGTTCCTCAGTCAACGAGATGCCTAAGCTGTGCACAAAAGATTTAACTGCCATGGGAATCTGCTCGGTTTCACCGGCCGGTTCTGTGAGCTCAGCTGGCGTAGGTGTTTGATTCACCGCCTTCATGTAGTCTTCAGACAGCTGGTGGAGTGACTTTTGCCCTTCTGACAGCTTACTCTGTAGCTCTTGCATGTCATTGAGAAGTGAGGTGTATTGGGACTTCACTGCATCGATTTTGGCCTGCAGCTGTGTTTTGCGTATTGACATGTTCTTGAGGCCAGTCACTTGACCCTTGAGTCTTGCTGCAATCTCTCGTTCGGTAATTGGCTCAACCTTGGTCAGCTTGAATACGACCTCCTGTACCTGTTGAGGGAGTGCATCGAGATGAGTTTTGAGCAAGTCCTTCAACTCTGGTTCTTCTGGCTTGGTAGGTCCAATCCCCAGTGCCTGCAATTTGGTTTGCGTCTCTTGTGGCAGAGTGGTCCAGCTGGTTGACAAGAGCTCGGTTGCCTCTTGTTGTACTTTCGCGCGTTTCAAGGGCTTGATCTTTGAGAGCCCTGGCGGTGCTTCAAGCCATTGCTGGTTGGCTATGGTCTTGTTGTGAGGTCGTCCATAACCCTTGCCCTTTCCATTGTGGTAGGCGGGCTCTGGCCACCAAGTGCCGCACTTCCGACACTTTGTACCGCTGCGGACCTTGTCGTTCCAGATCCAGTTTCCACATGTGCCTTTTTGGCACACCATGTAGCTTCTTCCCCATGTATGTATGTATGTATGCATGCATGTATACATGCATCATACTATACATTATTATACCTATTTCATCGTATTTTATTATCACAAAAAACATGAACCCTCCGGAAACCTCAGCCAGCCAACAGTATTTTTGTGAATTCGGGGGCGCCTAAAGCGCTTCTGTAACTGATGGGAAGTATATAGGAGTGACTAGCTGACTAGCTTGCTACTCAGTACTCGTGATTCGTGATGTGCTCTTTTTGTTTCTCCTCCTCCTTCAAGCAGGGGCCCCTTCTGCAAACATGTCTTCCACCCACACCTCCAAACAGTAGCACTTCCTAATAATTATATACTTCCTTACTACCTGAGTGTGCCTGTGGCCCGTGTTGTAAGGTCTTGCATGACTTTGCTGATGCACCTGTTTAATGGGCGAAGTGAACCCCAAAACACTCTGACTCTGGCCCTCAAGACGTTTGCTACATGTCAATTGGTAGCTGGTAGGTCTTGAGTCCCTTGATGTGTTCGCTGCGACATTGACAAGCGCTATCTCGACCTTTTCCCCTACGCATTCATCTGCTCAAGCCGTTCGAGGCCTCACAAATTCATCTGCAGCTTCTCCTCTCTCGTCTTCTCTCTGAACACACACGCACTCCCTCTCTCTCTCTCTATCTTTCTTTCCGCTCCTTTCTGTCTTTCCCCTATCTCTTTCCACCCCTTGGCCCGCGGACGTTGCCAAAGATCCGCGTCTGTGGCCCAGCTCCCAGGTGGCCGCACAGGTGAGTGTGCGCCTCAAAGGAGCGCAGCGCCATGGCCACTTCGAATCCGAAACGTGTTGGCCAAAGGCGTTGCCTTCTCGATTTCGCAAACTCAAGAACATTGGATCCGAATGTTGCTTTTTGTTCTCCTCGGTCGCTCAGCGCGACAGCACCCCCCCTCCTCCCTCATCCTTGCACTTTATCGGCTCAACTTGCACCCTTGCACCCGCACCGCCACCAACAAATGCAACTCAAACCATGCAACTCATATCATCTCAAAACATTTGTGGGCATCACCACTCATCAGGGTGAATGTGCAGCATTGTTGTGCTGGGAGTGTAGTTCTGCTGGCCCGCTTTGTTCTACGTGGCCTGGAGGACGTCAAACATCGTCAAACATTACCACCGCAACCCTGCGCCCCCCGTTCTAATAATGGGTAATATTCCTTGGAAACCTTGATGCGCCTCTAAACTCTAAACAGTATGGGGTTTACAAGGTGGGTGACGGGGAATTATGCGCAGGGGCCCCATAGTGACCGAACAAAGTCTCGACAGGTTCATGAGTGCAATGCTATGCGAAGCAAGGGCGAGTCCGAAAGCTTACGAAGCAAGCGGCTTCTTGATTGGCCCTGAAGCCAATCAATGGCGCTGTACACGCAGGTGCCGCAGGAGTGAGACATCATGACAATCTATCTCTTTCTCTCCCTGGCCATCTGATTACCCCAACTCGTCTTTTTGGAAACACAGGACTCAACCCAACAGGAGAGTCAACTAAGACAGGTGAACAAATGCCATACGACCCAATCACTAAACCAACGAATTACTGCAAACACAACAACACTATGCAAATGGTCCAGAGTGGACACCGCCTAGAACAACTACAAACATGTCTGCATGACTACTTACTTGCACACGCCATGCAGCGCTACTGACTGTACTGGGTTTGCAACTGCCCAGGCGGATTCTACGGTGCAAGTGCCTACCAAAACAGCGGGCTGCAAGGGGGCCAGTCATTCTGCATGTCGGCCTTGGGAGCTTAAAGGACCTTAAATCTGTTTGTCGGGCCCTATGTATGTGACAAACGCATGGCTTGGCATATCTCCATCATCTTCACAGACTCGCAGTTGGCAAAAAGCAGCCCTTCCACGTTCATCTATCGGGAGAGTGTGGTGTGGCAGGCGCAGCATTTTGCGGATCTTAATGACCAAGAGTGGTTTGGCTCCGGTTGGCCCCTGTGAACCCGGCCGGCACTCAAACACCTATGGACATCCAATTGTAACTGAGAACGCTGTTCGGCTTTTCCCCCTTTTCTCACCCCTGATCTGTCGCTGAACTCAATTGGTAGAATTATGCAGAAACATTCGCCACTATTTGTGCTCCAGTCAGTGGCCAACCGTGTCTGTGCCTTTTGGAAAAACCAGTTCCCACTTGCGATCCCCACTCTTTTCCGTTCAACGGGTAAATGCAAATGTTGCTTCTTTTGACCGCGCCTGCCCGTCCACGGGCTCGTTCTCTTTCTTCAGCTTCTCTTCTTTCCCAAGCAGCCCGAGCACGTTCTCGTTCTTCAGCTCTTTTCCGAGCGCGTTCCCTTTCTTCTGCTTCTCTTCTTCTTTCTTCTGCTTCTCTTCTCCTTTCTTCGGCTTCTCTTCTTTCATGAGCAGCCCGAGCACGTTCTCCTTCTTCAGCTCTTTTCCGAGCGCGTTCCCTTTCTTCTGCTGCTCTTCTTTCCCGAACTCTTTCTCCTTCTTGAGCTTCTCTTCTTTCCCGAGTTCTTCTTTCTTCGGCTTCTCTTCTTTCCTGAGCTCTGTCTCTTTCTTCGGGTTCTTTTTCCTGAGCTCGTTCTCTTTCTTCAGCTTCTCTTCTGTCCCGAGCTCTTTCTCTTTCTTGCGGTTCTCTTCTGTCCCGGGCTCGATCTCTTTCTTCAACTTCTCTTCTTTCCCGAGCTCTGTCTCTTTCTTCCATTCCCCTCTCCCGAACCCTTTCCCTATCTCTACCTTGTCTTCGTTCTCTTTCTCTGCTGTCTCTTCTACGAGACCTCTCTCTGAATTCTCTCCTTTCTCTGCGGCTTCGTGAGTCTGAGAGTCTGTCCCTCCTCTCCCTGGCATCGTGGCAGTATCCCAAAACTTGTGGTGTATTGTTACATGCAAAACTTCTCAAAGCCCGACGGCTCCTTGTTCGGCTTCTAGACCTCAATGTAAGCCTGTCACTGGCCAAACACAAGTTCCAAAGTTCCAAAGCCGTCTTCATGTCTCCACGCCTCGAGGAGACCTGTCAGTGCCAATCCGAAATGGCTCTTTAAACATGAAGGAGCATCGCTCATCTGTTTGGACCAACCTCTCCCAGGAAGGGCACGTGGAGAGGGCTACCTCTGGAGCACCAAAACCTGAGGAGGCTTCAGCGGACCAGATCTATATTCAACAGGTCAACAAAATGCCTTTGCTGATTAAAACATCTTCCAAGTGGCTGCTTGCAAGCGGCCAGGCGTGGACCTCGGCACTTGGCTGGACACTGATGGCCTCTATTCGGCTCCTGCGTACAAGCCACATGCTCGGTAGTTCTTCTCCAAGTCCTTCAGGAGTTCTCCTGTGAAATCTCCATTAGCTTCCAAGCCAAGTCCGAAACGGATCCCAATTAGCGGCTAAGCGGCGGACTTTTATGGATTTGGAGGCGCCTACAACCCCCCTAAGCGCAACTGAACTGTGCAATTCTTGGCATGAGAAATCTCCGAAACCTGGCACTTGCAAAATTCAGTCTCACTGAACCCTCGGCCAAAAGAACACGATTCAAATCACAAAAAAGGTACATAAAGCTCATCAAACATCGTAAAACCAAGCCCATCAATGCACAAGTTTAGGCACAAATTTATTCGGTGCTTGTGCTAATTTGCGCTCTTGTCTTGCACGCTAGCCGCTAGCCCACACCTGGAGCCTTGAAGCTGTTGTGCTCCACCCGGAGCCACAACCTGCAATTCGCACAACAGTGCAGTCAGCGGTGTCCAAAGCAGTTTCCTTCGGCCCGTGCGGCTCGGCCCGAGAGGAACGGGCCACCTGGCAGGTAAACACAGCAATTGAGTTGGAAAAATTGGACAGCTCTGGGATCCAATAGGAACGCCCAAACAAGCGCAAAGCACGCACTCTGCTAGCTTCAGCCTTGGCAAAAACCGTTCAGGTTTACAGGTGAGGATCAAAACTAAAACGCGCTTGACGCCACAAACGCCACAAAACATGAATTAAAAAGAGATATCAAACACAATCAAAGAAACATATGTCTGTTTCCGTTTTCAAGCTCCAAACACCCCATGGTGAGACCTACAGACAACCACACATAATTGCAAACGTTTCAGGTTTTGAGGCGTTCGTAGCCTCTCGTTTCTCGCTTTCGTTGGCATTTTTCTTGGGCCGCTGCAGGTTGTTGTGAGACCTGAGCAGCACACTGGCACAACAAAAGCAAGGAGAACCAATGACACATAGAAATGAGAGGAAGCAAACAAAAAACACAAGGACTTGGGAACTTGGGGGGCCACAAGTGTACCTCGCGGAGGTTCCTGCAACTCTTCAACCTCAGGTTGGATGTTCCCAAGCAAAGCCTTGCAGCCTCGTGACCATGCAGCGCTCTTTGCTGTACCCGAAAGCTCGAAGCTCATGCTACTTTGGTCAGAACTAGCCCTACCTAATCGCTGAGCCAAGTCCAGCCAAGGGGTCCACTAGAGCCAATAGGGCAATTTGAGCATAGTACTTCCTGTGCTGAACGCAGAGGCAGAAAAATGGAAGCATAAGGCAGTGAACCACAGCACCCGACCAAGTTCCACGAAGCAATGATTGGCTCAAGCAAGACTTAGCAATGACTGGAGCCTTTTGAGAAAAATAAGATCAGGAAAATTCAGGAAACCACACAAGTCTTGACCCACTCCGAGCCCCAAACAATTCTGGAAGATCGCGTGGGTGTCGCATCATCTCTTACATTCTCTTACCAATGTCCCCAGAATGCATCTCGAACGAACTTTATTGCCTGCACACCCTCAAAATTACTTGACTTCGAGTGACCCCCACCATGACATTTCAAAACAACCACGTATTTCAGCCCATAGCACGAGTCCTTCAGCGCCTAGTAGAGTAGTAGTAGTAGTTGTAGTAGTGGTAGTAGTAGTAGTAGCAGTAGTAGTAGTAGTAGGAGCAGCAGCAGCAGTAGTGGTAGTAGTAGTAGTAGTAGTCGTAGTAGTAGTAGTAGTACTGGTAGTAGTAGTGGTAGTAGTAGTGGTAGTATTGCGGTGGTAGTAGCACTAGTAGTGCGCAGTTCGGGGGCCGAGCTTCGCGGCCCGAAACTTGGAAGCTTCCGGGGCCGGAGTAGTAGTAGGAGTAGTAGTAGTAGTCGTCGTAGTAGTACTAGTGGCAGTAGTAGTAGCAGTAGAAGTAGTATAGTGGTAGTAGTAGTAGTAGTCGTCGTACTAGTAGTTAGTAGTAGTTAGTAGTAGTAGTAGTAGTAGTAGTAGTAGTAGTAGTAGTAGTAGTA